GACCTCCACGTGGTCCTCCTTCAAAATTGTCGTAGTTAATTCTTGGTAAATTTGCCACAATGGATTAACTGAGTTGACTTTATGCTCTCCTTATAATTCTCCTCTGGTACTCCGCCGTAGACGGTGTCATGACATGCCATTGCGGAGCGGCGTGTACCATTCTATAATCATCTACAAGAAAGAAATTTTACGATGTTGCTAGTAGAGTATACATTTTTCTACCCCATTTCGGAATAATAGTCGCGAAACTATTAATGTATTATTTGTATATTAAGATCAGATAACATTAAATGTTCTTTAGAAAATCGAAATAGATGTTGACCCTAATAAACGTATGCAAACAACTTAACCGCCATGAAAACATCGTGTAAATACTGTAAAACACATGTGGACCCGGGGGGCGCCGGAAACGTCCGCTCCTCGCAACGTCCAACAGTTAAATGACTGTAAGAATCTATCCCATTTTCAATTTATCACCAAGAGATGGCGTTGAATGTATGAATGAATTGAAAGTTAGATTACACAATTTAAATTCCCCCTTCATGCAAAATAGGGACGGAAAGATGAGGTCTGAGGGGGTGGTGTAGAATACATTATTGTAGGAAAGAGTGGGGAGGGGGGTTGAAATATTTACCTCGCGGGAGTTTGGAAGTGTGTGCACCGAAGCGGCGCAAAATCTTAATGGATTATAGTATGATTGGACCACTCGGTTTACCTGAGGATATTTTGCACTTTTTTTTTCAATTCGCAGCAGATTGGTTTTCATAAAGTATTAAGCGGATCCCGTTCGTTCCGGGACTGTTTTATTCCTTTCAACTGCGGACGGGGTGCAATTAGGGTGAATAACAATTTAATTTTTTCATCGGGTGTCTACTTTTAATCCAATCAGCCTCGTTTATTTCTGTGCCTCATTCTGTTGTGGACGTATATCGATTGTTTCAAAGGGATAAAAACAAACCGGTTAATTGAAGCTTAACAATTTTATTACAGCTTATTTGTTTATTATTTCTTTTGAATGTGTACTCCTTATAGCTTAGTGGTTACTGCTCTGATTTACGTCAAAAAGGTAGTGAGTTCAAATCTGGCCAGTACCTATTTGTGAATATAACGATAACAAACCAAACTAATTTAGGAAATGGAGGTAGGCTCGTCCCCAGCTACACTGAATTAAAATATAGGTCATTACTGAAATTTAAGCATATCAAGTGTTCACCTTGCCGTCTATAGTTGACGGTGCTTCTGGCTACCATCTTAGATAACAGTCGTGAAGGTATATAATATTTATTATTATCGGCTTAGCAGATCGCATGACTTCTGATAATCGCGATTTTGATTTCTCGTACGATGCGAACGTATTGAATACGATTATTTAACGGTATGAGTCTATCTATTTACTGAATGTATGTATATATTTATATCAGTTCTCTTTTATTCATAACACAAGCTCTGCTAAACTCAGGACTAAATGACCCTGAGATATTATTATTAAACAGTAATAATAATAACATCACAGGGTCATTCTCTTATTTTCTCTTCTTTTATGTACTTAGTCTGATAAATTTATTATTATTATTATATATATATATATATTTATTATATCTCCCTTTTTACGGGGGTAATATATTCAAACACGATAAATTTATTATTATTATTATCGATAAATTTATTATTATTATTATCGTCTTTTATTCCAAGTATTTCTAAAAGAAGTATATAGATAACGTAACGTCTAGCTCTGTTTATATTATCGTATAGATGTTAACCCGTTCATGAAATAGGCGGATAATTAACACCCAAAACCAAGAGATTCGTGATAATCAGCGAAAATTCGCACAATTCGCCGTTTCAACAGCGAAAGCCATTCATGAAGTTACTAATTCTTTTAATTTTTTAACGATCAGCGCGTGAATCATTTGTGTATGTGGTACAAACTTGGTAGGGTTCATTTGCATGGATTTGCACTAATTATATTATTTATACGATAGTCGACTTTCCCATAGATATTTTTGTATGTTTGTGTTTTTTTGGAACGAGCATATCAGGTATAATAACGGTCAAGAGATTTCTCTTATAAATGACATAATAAGCCTATATTTGAGATTTTATTGTAATTGTTTTTACACATTGGGTTATATTATTGAAGTTTTATTGGGATAATCAATTCATTATACATAGTATACTAGCTGAAACTTCTGCGTAACTTATCGCATCACACTTATCATTATATATCGCCCAATTAATATATCTTTTTAAATTATATATTTTTTCTGATGTATATTCTCAGATATATAAGCTATATTTATTACTATAAAATTTCATCAAAATCCGTTCAATAGTTTTTGCTTGAAAGAGTAACAAACATCCATCCATACTTACAAACTTTTGAATTTATAATATCTATTAGTAAAATAATATGGACTACTCAAAGATAATTATGATAATCGGTTCAGTAGTTTTCGTTGCAAATATAAAAATCTTTACATTATATATATTCTTAGTCTATATTATATACTATGTATCAACTGTATAAGTTATCTATATGTGACGTAACGCTTCCTTTTCAACTTTCTACAGCGCATATGATATAATTAATACAAAAGACAGCATTGTACTTGTACCTTAAAGTTGTTTTTGAGATGCAATAATACAAACAGCCAAAATCCATTATAATTACCGTTAAGACCGAGTTTGTTGTTTGTGTGATGATAGTAGATAGGTAGTTATATTCAAAAATATGAATACAGTGATAAAATTTTATTATTGTGTACCAGTAATGTTCACATCGCTGGGTACCTGTGCTTGTGACGTCATTTGCGTGTATTTTTGCGAAACTTTTAATATTACGTCGTGGTTTTCTTAGCCGACTTGAAAAAAAGGTTCGCAATTTTTTTATGTTAATATTTTTGTTATTTTAGAACTCTGTCATTTACAAACTTATTACATTTTTTATCAATCATGGCAATCTAAACTACGAAACAAAATATTGATTAAATGTCTATGAGGAATCGTTATCTATATATATTATCGTTATCTAAACAGAATTTAACAAATTCGTCTTATTAAGTCTTTATTCATTCTAAAATATTTTATGTGATTTGTTGTCACAATTTAATAAAAATACGACCGAATCATAACTAATGTCTTCTTTCTTTGAACATAGAAAATGCCGCGTAGATTATCTTGCCTATTGCGCAGACCACACACTGACAAAATAATGAGTCACATTCGAAACGGTTCAGCTTAAAATTAGTAGGAATTAACACAATAGACGCAAATGAGTAAACCGCAAATTTACAAACAAAAAAACATCATTTATTTTGAATGTCTTTACGGTACATTATGACTAACGTTTTTTAGAGAAATCATGAAAGAATATAGAAAATGTTTATTCCGGTTGTACGTCACGATTTTAATATAACCATACTAATATTATACAGACGATAGTCTGTCTATCTATCTGTTTTGTCATTTGCCATAAAAAAAAATTCAAATGTATCATAAAATATTTTCTTTGTAAAAAAGCTTCGTATAAAATTGAAGAATTTATAAATGATAATAATGTTTTTGTAGAAAATATCTAACTTAAAATTCATAGCGCTGACAATGTTATCTGATAGAACAGAGATTAAGTGCGTAGCGGTTTCTATGTTGATTGTCGCATGCCTAATCCTTGTTGTTAATTAAATATAAGTAAATCAATATTTATTTAAAAGAGCAACACACAAGTTTCTTGTGATGAATCTGCATTCCGAATAAGCGGTAGAATAAAAAAAACTTGACTATTCAAAAGTGCTTATATTAAGTTTATTTGAATAAAGATTATTTCTATTTCTATTTTGTACCCTTCCACAACTATAAACTAAACTGATCTTAATGAAGTTTCAACCAACAACATCCGGGAGTGTAAAGGACTAAAATATCCAACATTAATACCTTTGAATTGTTTTATAGATCAAATATTTTGTTATATCGCTTTCGGGAAAATTGAGGGAATATTACTTAAATTTGTAACTTCTCTTCTCTTTACTGCCCATGTCCTTATTTTAATTTTTTCTGGTATTTCCCTAAAGTTGTGCGTGAATATTTCTGTTTACTTTATATTAATTTTTTTTTCTTACTTACAATTTGAGGCTGTACTGTAATTTTTTTGTCAGATCATTAAGTATTTATTCATATGTAGTATTTATCTGTATATTTATATACTAGGTACTCGCCCCGGCATCGCACGGGTGTACATGTATTATATATATAAACCTTTCTCTTGAATAACTCTATCTATTAAAAACCGCTTCAAAATCCGCTGCGTAGATGTAAAGATATAAGCATATATACGGACGGCCAGACATTGACAGCGACTTTGTTTTATACTATGTAATGATAGATATTTACGTATGTATTACTTTTATTGAAATTTATATACATTTTGCCTTATGTATCTTTTTGACATGTCTCATTTATATCAGTGTACCGCCAACAATCTTTCTTTGCACCACTCATGGTTGACTGGTAGATAATGCTGCAAGGTTTAAGTCCGCCATATGTACATTTATTTTTGTGCATTGAATTAAAACTTCTAACAATACAATGTCGAAGCAAGTGGGGCAACGGGTAAAAACAAGTATTAGTACAATATTAGTCAATTTTAAACGCGATATAAGCAATTACATGCTCAGCGGGTGATGGGCAGGCTTGAAAAATGAGTCATTGAAATCAACAATTCCGGTAGGCCAACAATAGTATTTCTTTTTAAATATTGCATTCCATTTTTAGTGTGACTCAATTAAATGATAAAGGTACAGTCAGTATCCATACTAATATAAATCATAAGTCTGTCTGTCTGTCTGTCGTATTTTTAACAGTTCTATGTTAGTCTATTATTAAAATTAGTGATAAAGATCAATTATAACACAATACAGGATATTTTATCCTTCAATGTTATATTAGAATTAACATACATATATAATAATAACTTAGAATTTAGGATTAAAAAAAGCACTGACCTGTACTTCTCGCTTCAGCAAATAGTCTCGACTCCAGAATGATCACACATAACAAAAACACAATTGTTTTAAACCTACCAAAGCACCATCGTCCACTTCCAAACCTACCATTGCACTTCACAGTATTTCGGGAAACACTAACATTCACAAAACTAACTTTATTGTCTATTTCATAAACACTATTATTGCTAAACGACTCCTCACTACTACCCCTAATAACGTCACTCCTCGTGTCATTTCTTGTTTTTATACCTCCTCTGTCCTCTAGTAGAGGTTTGAGATCCTGTAAACTCCTCCTTTTGCTTGAAATTGTTTTCTCTAATGGTTCTAAGTTGCGTGGTGGTTTCCACGTCATGGTTGTGGAGGTCATGTGTGGTTTAGTATGATAGGTTCCACTCGGTATAGTCAAATTGACGGGTCATCTTGTGTTTGCATCTGGAAAGAGAGAAAAAAATATATAAGTATATAGAATATGAAAAAGATCTTTTATGTACGAATAATTAAAATTAAGTATAAGTTTTACGGATGACTTGCGACTCTTCGGGGGCTATTCGGCAACTATTCTAGGGACAAAGTGTTTTTTAATAATAATCAATCTATGTTTCTGTGCGATAATACAGCTATATACCTGGACGTTTTTTTAAAGTTTCTTTTAGTTTGTATCCATTTCGTTAGTTTCCAGCATATTACAATTGATTAATTGATAACATTGTTGTTTAGTAATTTATCAATAAAATAGTACCCTTTACTATTTACATATTAATCATCTTTGCTCACATTGTCTCTAAATTATAATATTAATGTATTACCTGTGCAATAAAGAATATAATATTAAATTAACATAATGTCATTTAGACAAAGTACCTACAACAATTTAGCACTGATCATTTTCTGGATAGACGGTTAACATAATTCAATGAATATTTCAATACTGTTTAACAAAGATTATAAACAACAATAGATGGAATTTTAACCTTAAAATACACATCTCAATATATACTATAATAATAACTTATATAGCTATTAACACTAAAACACATTTTCAAATGAACAAATCAAAACACTCACATGTTAGGTTATACATTCGAAAGCTAACCTACAAACACAAACAATCATAACAAATCAATTCGTTAATTAATGCTATTATAATAATCCATATTTATATTGCACTTCCACTTTTTAATAATTAGAAATTATAATTAATATAACTTATAAAAGAACTAAGTTATATATTACATTTAGAAATATTTAAACGTTAAATCAGTCGAAAGTTAAACGCGAACTAAAGTTATACATCTCTACGAGAGACGGGCACAGCTATCTACCTGGACCGTAGAGATGCGATTACAAACAACCATAGAAAGAGATAGCGATATTTCTGACAATGCTTGTGGAGTTGTGATGAAACTTGTCATCTGTGTTGTAGGTATACTTTTTTGTGAGTGGTAATTTCGACATGGGATCTAAATTTTTTTTGTAAAAACAAAACGTTTAGAGAGAGATTTTGCTAAATGTGACAGTGATTAAAAACGTTGAAGAGAAATATGTATTTTGACTATGTCAAGTCATAGACGAAGCACATCTTATGTAATGTTTAAGTATATTTACATTGATTGTTTAAGTATATTTACTACTAAAATTTTGACGTATTTAACGTACATTGAAAGCAGTTCATTTTGTTTGTAATGTATCTCACTGATGTATATCTATATATATAATATAAATCATTATTTGTCTGGAATTTTTATGTGGATTGTCGCTATACAAGTTTGAGTTGAGCAGAGTCCAACAAGAATATGATTGTACTTAATCTATCAAATAATAAAATATACTTAATTAGCTAATTCCTATCTCAATTTAACACGAGTTTATTGAATGGATCTTTAATACAACCATATATAGGAATCTACAAAACATATTGTCAAAGTATACATATATTATAAATATACAAATGACAGCTAATATGTCTCGTTGTCTAATCAGCTTTAAATATGCGAAAGCAGTTAAGTTTATCCTTTATTAGAAAAAAATAATTCTACTCATAATATTCGTTTAGTTTTCTTATACACGAAAATCACCTATATTGGGTACTCTACTACTATTACTTGGGTATCAACAAGTAAATGAAGAGTGAAGGGGGGATAGTTAGTAATGTGGACTAATAACCCCATAGCTAGCAATGTACTGTGTATGTAAATGTAATGTGGTTCCCACTAGTAACTATCTTGACAAATTAATAGTGAATTTACCACGACCTGACCTGACCTCATACCCATCTTATCATCCTCCACTGGTGCCCTACCGGTGCAGACGGCTGCACCATTATCATTCATAATAAAAAAAATAAGTAAACGAATCAATAAATAGGTTACGTGCTTAACATGCTGCGTTCTGATTTTCATGGTAAAATTTGGCAGCGAAATTAGTGTATAGAATAATACCTTAGTTCTTTAAAATAGCTTTGCGAAAGGTAATACAGGTTATACGATTTCCTTCAGTATTTAATTGAATTAGTGCTAATTGGTGGTTTGTATTCACACACTTAAACTTAAAAATGTAAAGTAATAATAAAATTATTTAAAAGAGCAACACGCAAGTTTCTTGCTCGTTCTTCTTGTGATGAGACAGCTTTCCGAATGAGCGGTAGATTAAAAAAATGTAATGACTATTCAAAAGTGCTTCAATGTAAGTTTATTTGAATAAATGATTTTCTATTCTATTCTATTCTATTCTTCAATTGTTTGTTATTCCAATTACGCAACAAACAATATTTCCAAGTACTTATAAATTTGTTTTTACTGTATATTAAACGTACCACTTTTGCTTTATTACGACTCTACTATAAGTAGAGATAGTAAAAAAAGAGATTATTACGTGTTATATTTTACACCTGAATACATAAAACACATCCAAATATGATTGAGCTATTTATTTGTACTTCGTACAAACGCGGTATAGTCGACAAAAACCTAATAACATAATAGGGTAAACGCTCCAATACTCTCACTCCATAAATTTACTATCGGAAAAAAGAGAGGGCAATATTGACGTGAAAATAAGTGCAAAACACACGGACGCTGCCGACAATCTAATAAGCAATTCATCAAGAGATGTGACAGCGTGTGTTATCGTACGATGTTAAGGCCTGAGGAGGGTAGGTGGGGGCTGGGGGTGCATTGAAGACACCTGCGACCCACTGGCGGAGATAAAGTCACTCGGTGCGAGGTGAACTTGTTTTGTGAAGCGTAGTAAGGACTGGTCTAGACTTGCACTAATGAGGGACGCCTGGTGTTGGCTGCTATTGAGTGAGGGTCGTCTATTCGAGTGCTTGTTTAAATTGGAGTTTATTTCTGTTCAATCCTTTCTTTTCAAGCTACACAAGAGAGTAAACTGAATGCTAACGATATTTCTACTATCAAACAAATGAGATTTTGAAGGCTTCGTTACTTAGTGATTTAATACATCGACTTACTCCCAACAGGTCGTAGGTTCAAATATCGTCGACACAAAAAAAAAATATATTACTGACTGACACCAATAACAAACCAAAAACGAAATAATCCGAGAGACAGTGGTAGGGTTGCCTAATGCTAGTTAGTAAACATTAAAATTATTCACCATGACATCGCGTCGCCTGCTATGCTTGCCTCTGACTACCCGATTTCGAATAACAGTCATGAGGCTACACATATTTTGTATGCAAATTATGTTACATCTAGTTTCATGATATTCAAGTTTCATGCCAGACTACTTAAATTTAGGTAGAGAAATGATACAAAACCCTATAGATACAATTGTTTCGAATATTTTAAATATGTCTGGATCACACGAGCAGCCATCCATAGTCGTAGTACATACTGGCCCATTCATAATAAACCATTATAAGAACTAATACGAACACGTGTCGGTCTGTATGTTACCATTTAAAAACTAAATTCAATACAATTCTGATAAATTCTTAATGAAATTGATTGTATCACGAGAAAGGATCATCTTTTATATAGCTATCTTTTATATCAAAAACAGCAGACGAAATCGCGGAAAACAACCAGTAGAGGTATAAATGTGTATCTCAAATAGGTTTGGCGCGTTACTTTGTATTTCATATTATGCTTAGATTCCAGCCAGAAGGGGCTAAGTGCATGTAAATTATTAATTACTATGCGTTCGCCACAGTTTTGCTCGTATACGTCTAGAGCTGATATTAATTTAATTAACAACGAGCAGGTAAAACCGTACCGTACGTAAAAGTAATTATTTTACGTAGGTACAAGTTTCACTCGACGGCCCTGAAGGTATAGTGGTTTAGCATCGAACTTGTGACCATCACGTCAAGCGTGATGGTCACAAGTTCGATTCTCGCACGATATATTTATATTTATGTGAGTGTGTTGGTTCGTAAAGATATAGTTGTGTTTTATGTAGTTATTGTAGGTATCTTACACACATAGACACACATACAATTGGGTAATCTTTGTCTCATTCAATTCTGTCCCCTTGAAAAGGAGAACACCAGGGGAACTGCAGATCAGTTGCCAGCCTAAAGTGAATATGGAAAGAAATAAGCAAAGGGATAGGAGCGAGGAGGATGGGTGACCGGAACCTCGACTGACCATGCGAAACGCGATAAAACAACGCCGGTATTCTGAATAGGTGTGGTATTTCCCGGTTAGAGCGAGCCCATCCGTCTGGTCATATAACATGCTCTGCCACTTAGGTTCCATTAATAACTATTTTATTCATTTATACACTTTATTGCACCATATTATTATATAAAAAACTAGTTGAACATAGAAAGTTGTTTTTGACATATATTTTATTTAAAAAAAAAAATAGGGGTTTATGATATCAGATTGCATGTATATATTTTTCAATGCCGAATCATAAAAAGAATAAAAATAATATATTAAAAATAATATTTGGTGTAGGCCACCGCACTTAAACCCCTAAGTGATAACGGTAATAAATTAGATAACAATCTATTCTCACACCTACTAAACATACGTATAAACTTTCATCTAAATCGGTTAAGACGATTGGAAGCATTATTAAAAGTAACACTGTTACTATAAGAGAATTTAATATAGCTACTAGATAATTGAAATAAACGAATACGTAAGACAGTTTTATCGCTAGGCATCTCTTCCAGACAACCTTTGGATGGTAATGAAGATATAAGAGAAAGAGTTAGTGCAAGGCACAAATAAATAAATAAATACTAATCTCTTCACTCCATTTAATAACAAATCGCTCAAACTTTTTTACGGAAACAATGCAGCTCTAAGTGCAGCACAATCAGACACAGGTGCAGTGGTAGAATGCTTAAAGCTGCCCATTAATCTTGTTGGACGTGGCCTTATCCTGCCGCATTAGTACGTCCTGCCTGCCTGCTGTTCCAACATTTAGGTATAAACTTTACGTTCACGTGTAACGAT